AAAGTCCTTGAGGCTATAAAACTTTGAACAGCAAGCTATGCCTGCACATGCACTCTGCATCACTCAGGTGAAAGGTCATGGTAGTTTGAGCATTTGCTAAAATGTTTTCATACACAACATGTGCCACAGTCTAGGTGTTTGGCAGGCTGCATGAAAAAATCTAAAAAAAATTGAACCGGTTCTTTGATTTTAGTGCTGGGGGATAAATGACCACAGTTATGAGCTCTATAAAAATATCTTAATTCACTGAATTAAAAAAATTAGTGGTCAATAATGGTCAATTAAAAGGTGGTCAATTGACCACCCCATCCCTAGTTAGAATTCAATTAAGTTTTTTGGGAACCTAGATAGGCAATCTGAAGGGGCAATAAAAAAACTGCACCCTTTGCCCTCAGATGCTAATATCTTTGCCTTTTCGTTTTTGCATTTGGTTCTTGAGAGTTTCTTTAAGTCTTTCAATCCTAATTTAATGAGAAATAAACTGGAGATATGGATTTCTTACAACACACTCTTGAAGATTACCTTTATTCATAGCCACAATTCAAATTTAACAGAAATACAATTTTCTTAACTTTTTACAAAATGAGACTAGAGTCCCATTATGTAAAAAATAAGATGAAATTATATTAGTATATAGATTAAAGTTACGGGACTCCTAAGTCCTGCCATGAACAAAAGCGTTAAGGCTCAAATTCAAGCTGAAGGAAAAATAAATCAAAATATGCTTGTTCTTTAATTTCACTAATATTTGGTTAGAACTATATTTGCTCAAAAGTTACCAAATTTTTTGGAAAATGTAAAATGTTTTCACACTTTGGAAAGTGAGCCATCAAGGAACACTATAGGAAAAAACAAAGAAATTAGCATCTGAGGGCTGTGACCATATATTTTTGCCCCAGGCCAAATTTCAAGACCCCTATGTTGGCCTAAGTTTGGTGTAGATATCTACAATTTTGTCAGCATTATATAACTTTTTAGCACATTTTTTCTGCAAACTAAATTATATTGAGAATTCTGCACACAGAACATTGCCAAATTTGACTCATGAATCCAAAATAAATAATGAAATTAAATTTCTCATATCATTGGAATGCCCTTGAAAATTTATTTCAAATAGTGTTACGAACAATATTTCCCATATGATGAATAACAATTTCCCATATGATGAATTCCCACCATGTTTCCCATATGATGAATAACAAGGTCATGTTTCATGAAAACGATTATTTATGAATCAAAAAGGGAAAATAAAATTTGCCAGAATCACGAGTCAAAATCAAATTCCGCATTGGCTGATAGATGCAAAACCTCATCAACTCCATCCCACTGGAGGAATCACAGGGTTAAAAATGTTTAATTTTTAGCTAAAAATTTAAAGGTTAAACATAAATATGAATTAAATCTTTGCATAAAATTCAGAGAATGGAAGCACTGATTCTCCTGTCCTTTCAGCTTCAATTTGAGATATGAACCAACTCTCTAAGATAAGAAGCAAGGAAGTTAGCATCTACAACTTTGCCTGCCTTTTGATATTGATATAAAAGATTTTGACAATGTGATATTCTTAACATAGTCCTTCTGCCAAGTTTATGTGAATTCTGAATTGGTTATGCACAGATCACTGGTACACTTGAGGTAGAATGACTACTTCCTGGTTATTGAACAAGCTGATAGGGAGTTGAGAGTGGTCATCACAGACACATTGGATACAATGACTGATAATCATCAGTCCAATTCCAATCAAGAAAATCCATTGTGCTAAAATAAGTTGTTATTAAATGACATATGAGCAAGGGAGGTTGGGAATATGCCTTTCCTACAGCACAATGAAAACACTCTCAAATCCTGCATCAGTCACACTCAATTGCAAGGCATTTCATACATCCAACTACTCATCTTTCAAAGCATGATCAAAAAGAAAATCATAATGGTTTAAAAAATCTTTGGATGACTTGTAATATATTGAAAGAAAGAAAGTAACAAGATGTAAACAATATTTGCTATAAGAATTATAAGAATGCAATGCACAATTCACCCAACTACGAGGGTCGTCCTACAAGTTCTGAATAACGTCAATACATCCTGGACCTTAGCTGAGCCAGAATAATAGGGGCTGAATGTTATTACCTGAGACGTTCCTATCTAGTATGCATATGATTGTTTGCTTTGGTGTTATGAATGATATGCTACCCAAAAACAATGTACACTTTAGGTTACTAACAAAATTTGGGAAACAATGTCATTGTAGTCTGATTTGATTTTAGCTGGAGCAGAAAGAATGGAATTAAAAGTCCTGGACAGACCACAGGAAATTATGGTGACCATCCTGAAATCCCAACTGGATCTACATTCCAGACTTTACCATTTCCCCAAAATCAAATCAGAAAATGATTTCCTGTTTTTTAATTACCAATGACCTAAAGAGTTAGGTTATTGACACCCCTGTCTACAAAACATGAAAGCAAGCAATTACTTGTATATAAGTTGGGAATATCTCAGTACACAACATGTAGCACTTCTCTTAAACCTTATAGGATGGTTTTTACTTGAGAGTTGTTCTGATCAATAAGTATATTATTTGATTCATCTCAGAAAGGAAGCTCGTGTTGTATACCCAAAAGGATGGGGATTATTGACAAAAACCACACCCTGTAGAATCTACCATGCATTAAATGAAAGACACATTCCGATACTCAATGAACAGCATTGAGGTGCTTATGGCAAAGCAGTGATAGGCCTAAAAACGTTAAAAAGCTAAAATGCCTTTTTGATTATACATCATGAATTCAAAAACTCATTGGTATTTGGCCAGCAAGAAATAAGATTGCACAATTCTCTGCTGCTTTTTAAAGATGCAGCAGAGAGAGAAAGATTCAAGAGTCATCATTCACATCCCAATATTATGCCTTAGAGGAATTAGCCAGGAACCAGGGAAAGGCTATATATATAATCCGTCCTACAGGATGAATTAGCAGGATCTCTGACTCATGGGAAACAGCAACAATAATTATCAACAAGTAGGTCTATAGGTATGTACCACTACTGCACATATTAACCCCTGCCAAACCCAACCATTACCACTTATATAATTAAAAATAGACCTTAAAATGAAAATGAGAAAGAAGCACAGGTTTCAAGATTCTGATTGCGGGGATGAAGATGAAGCAAGAGGATCTTTGAGGATCTGAAGGAGTTTCAGCCTTGTCTTGCTCATGGCATGCTTGGGGAAGTTCTCTGGGAGAGACCCATGAAGTTGATGAGCTGGGATATGGAGGTGCATTGGATCCCTGATCCGAAATAGCTCCTGTTGAACTTCATGGATGCTGTTGCAGAGGTCATTGTAGCGCTGGACATCCCAGCCACTCTTATTGGCCTTTTTGTGAAAGATTTTAAGAAACTGACGATCCCTCGCATCTGGGTAGATGCATTCCTACAGTGTCAGACATACACAGAGTAATTAATCTCTACTCTCATTGAATGAGCATCTTTTTGATGTCTCAAAAATAAGTAAGCTGTAACTGTCATGCCATCAATTCTCTCTCACTCCTTGTATAAAATGTTCTCTTAGCTTGCTCCCTTTCTCCTAACCTCCATGATATCCTTCTCTTCACAGCCCACTGCTTATTTATAAGGCTGTAGAAAGCTTACAGTACTGCCTGGAGATTTCCTATCCTTCAGTCATATGACTCAAGCATATGCCCTGTTTGAAATGGAGCATGTGCTCAGTCTAAACTGTCATCTTAATATGGGTAAACTAAGGGTTATTAGCATGTGGGTGTACATGAAAATTTTCATGACATATAAAACTCAACAACATAAAGTCAGTATTGTTATCATCATTATTACTAGCTCACTATACAGCATGGGTGTCTTGTGTGTCTTATCCATTTAGTTGTGTTCGACTCTTGGTGACCCGATGGACAAGGTCTCGCCAGCATTTTCTATCCATAGCCAACTCCTTCAGTTCTTGCAGCCGCAGTTGTGTGTCTTCCAAGATAGTGTCCAACCATCGTGTTCTCTGTCGTCCTTGCCTTCTTTTTCCTTCCGTTTTGCCAAGCATCAATATCTTTTCTAATGAGTCTTGTCTTCTCATTATATGACCAAAATAAGTCAGCCTCATTTTTGCTATTGATGCCTCCAAAGAGTATTTCGGTTTCACTTCGTCCAATATTGATTTGTTTGTTCTCTTTGCAGTTTATGGTATGTTAAGCAATCTCCTTCAGCACCACAATTCAAAAGCATCTATCTTTTTCCTCTCAGCTTTTCTGATTGTCCAGCTTTCACTGCCATATGTTGTAACTGGAAAAACCACGGCTCTGACAATTCGTACTTTTGTCGACAGTGTGATGTCTCTGCATCTGATCACTTTATCCAGTGTCGTCATGGCTTTCCTTCCAAGGAGTAGGCGTCTCCTTATTTCACGGCTGCAACATGAGTGTCTTACTGATACCAAAAGAACAGCAAGGACCTGGAGAGTTCAAGAGTCCTATTTTATAAAGTGGTAACTTCAGACAGATTCATGTGTCACCATGATGCAATCACAGTTCGCTTATTTTGAAAGGCGTTCGCATGCGTGCAAGGCATTTAGATGTTGACTATGTGAGGAAATTAGGAGGTCCCACTTGAAGATTGTTTTAGGTTCTAAGCATGAAAAACGATGAATTTGTCTAGTAGAGCAGATAGGCATGACAGTACAGGATACACAGCGATGGGAAAGGGGAACTGACCTGCCTGGTGAGGAGGAAATAGGCATAACCAGCCATAGCAGTGGCATACGTTACAAAGTAGGTGACAGGCTCCATGATGTCCCAAGAGTATTCCCACCAGGTGAGGCGAGCAAGAACCCCAAACTGGATAGCCATATAACCCAGTCCCATCCAGGTGAAAATACTCGTTCGAATCTCGGCCCGACGAAGCAATTCCGCGTGGGCATCTTCCAGAGGTCGAAGTTGAGTCTGAAGTTCCTCCAATTCCCCAAGGAGGAGCCGCTCCTTCTGCAATTGATGCTGCTCCACGTGAAGGGATTCGTAGAGCTGAGACACCAGGTTTCTCACGTCCGACAGCGACAGCATCTGCTCCTTCAAGAGGATGAGAAGCATGGTTGAGTCGGTGTCAAGTAAAAAGGAGAGAGAACTGTAGATGTAGACCTACTTGAGTGAGTCTCTCCTTCTCGGGGGTGTGAACCTGATGCTGCATGTCGTTGACGACCAAGAGGAAATGCGACTCCATGAGAGCCTCGATGGTGGTAGAGGATGCAATCTTGACGCCATCTGGGGTGTAAGCAGCCACCCGGTCGATCCCCTTATCCTCGACCTTCAGCATCTCCAAAAAATCTCCCACCGTGTTGGAAATGGGGCGAAGGGTAAAACGACATCTCTCGTGTCGTGATGGTAACGGCACTTCTATCACAGGCAACCCTCGGTAGTAATCCACCGTCACTTCTGCAAGCAACCATCCATGATAAGCACAGAGGGGACGTTAATGAACCATGCTTCAACGGACGCGGGGCGACATCATTTTAGTCTAGAGCATTTACCCATTCTCTTTCCATGCTGTGGACATGTAGGATTCTATGAATGGCAAGCGTAAGCATACGTAACAAGGAGATTACGGGGTTAAGCAAAGGCAATAAAGAGGTGAGGAACCGTTCCAAGCTGACATGAGCATACAATGGAGGCGGAGAAGAGCAGAAAGACAGAAAACAATAACAAGAGTGGGTCAGGGTCCCATATACGCCAGTGACACACTGCCCCAAGGGCGGCCCTCCACCGTCCAGAGAGGAAAGGGAATGAATCGGAGAGAGGAAATGAGCAGGTGAGGCATCTGTACACCTGTTGTGCAGAGGAACGGGACGGGGTGGGGTGAACGAGGCAGGAAACGGGCATTGTTATCCTCATCATCCCCATTTCCCATCAGACCCCGACCACGAATCGCATAGTGAACAAGTGTGGAGATACGTGTTCGTGAAATGTCGAGTCCGTGAAAGATTTCTACCAATCAAGGACTCATTGTGATAAGCAGATCCCATTTCCCATCATCTCTTCCCTTTCCTTATATCCATCACAGTCCCGGCATCTGCTTTAGTCATATCTAAACGATTCAGCAGGGAGATCGTAATCCGAGCGGGAAACGCGGTCATGGAATAGAGAGATAGAAGGGATCTAGAAAGGGGCATTACCAACATGTGACGTAACTCGTAAGTTCCTTCTCTTCTCTTTTCCATCTTGGCAGAATGGGAGTGAAAAATTCCCACCATGAAGTATGGCCTATCGGCAATTACATCACCGGTTCTCTCCCATGTTGGCTTCGATTTTTTTCATCTTTTCTCCCTCCTCTCCTTTCTCCTAAATCATCGATCGGGGGATTTCGGGGATTTCGTTTCCACTCATTCTTAGCAACAAACAAATCGCGGCGATCGGGCGTGAGTGCGACCAACTACGGAAAAGTCAAAGAGTGCTATGGATTTACATTTCCAGGAAGAGCATGGGAAGATGCCCTTTCACCCAGTCTAGTAAGTATGAATAATTCAGCTAGAGACAGACGCCAATGGAACCGAACGCCCTCGTGATGGGCAGTTCACCGTCCGGCATAGACCGAGTGCAAGTCCCTCTGGCTCCGTATCATACTCGTTTTGCTGTCTTATACACACCAAAGGCGAGTCGCCAGACCATCTTCTGCTTCTTTCTTCCCTCCTCTTTCGACATGATTTTCCTCTATCTCGATTGGTGGAGACTATCATCCATTTCGGAGAACTCATCCGGATGAAATCAGGGCGAAAGGAACGATTGTTTTTGCCCCTAGTGTTTTTTTTTTTTTGACAACGCGATAGCACCCAGATTGAGTATGCGGCATGGCTGGGGAGAATTACGATTACAGAGCTCGTCGTCTTTCTGCCGTCCTTTTTCCAGGAAGGCTAAAGCTCCAACAGCAGGGGCGCCGACTGTTGTTGCTATGGTATAAGGCCCTGATCAGTCACTAGGATCTCTATCTAAGGCAAGCATACTTCGCCTCAATGGCTGAAAGGCTGAGGAGGTTCCGCAGGTAGGTGCGATAGCCCTAAGTTGGTCTTGATTTATATGGTCTAACTTCAAGTTCTTGTTAGTCCTAGTTAATATTTAGTTTAGCCTACTCCGTTTTTCCGGGACGAAAACCTAAGCCAAAATGTAAGTTGCCATATTGGACGTCATCGACGATATCATCTCGGTGAGCTCTGGATCAAAAGCTGTAGCAGTAGCTAAATAATCACGATCTCCGCCTCACCTTATCACGATCAGTTGGACGGTGCTTCCATGTAGGCAATTCATCGCGCCGACGTGGCTGAGACGAATGACATTCAGCTTAAGACAGAGAAGCAGGAAAAAGAAGCATTAAACGCTTTTTCATGTCCTTCATGTCAGGCGAAAATTCCCAACTCCATTTCTTGTTCCCTCCTTCCCTACGCCATTTCTTCGTTTCAGGACCCTCCTACGCTCGCGATTATGGGTACATGACACGTGCTTACGCGAATCGGGTGCTGATGCATTAGTGAAGATGCACAGAAAATACGTAATTACTGGAGCAAGGCGAAGAGGGGCGTGTCTCTAACCATTAATCACACTGTCTCCATAGTGATCCTCACCATCTCTCAGTCTCAAGACCGACTGTGCTTTCGTGTGTACCTCTGACGATTCCATCAGAAAACGTTTCGATTCTGATATTAAATTAGTATCCCCTCCTTCTCCCCCTCCCCTCCCCCCTCTCTCATTCTCATCGAATATTTATGGTATTGATCGCAACTTTCTGCCTCCTCCGTGACTTGAAAGAGGAATGGAAGAGGAAAAAGGGCAAGGGAAAGTACTAAAGGGTTCAACTGTTCCCCCCCATTGACCATACCGTAATACTCGTCTATCAAGAGAACGGGATGATAGTTCAAAGAAGAAGGGATACGTTAGGTATGGGGGAATGGACCTTGATGGTGCGCGGATCACGCGCCGGGATGCAGGAAGGCGTGGCATGACACGCCACGCGTTCCGGCGTACGGACATTCACTCTTCACTCCCTCCCGAGTTCCAAGTACTCTAACGTTACTCGCTCCCATTCTTCATTGTTCTTATACCATTCATACTTTCATTGTGTGCCACGTATACACGTACAGAAGTGAATATAGAGTGGTTTACTGAGTGAGTGCTCAGTGATGATCGATCGCGGATATCGAGGGAGTTTAGAAGCCATTTCTGAGTCAGAGGAATGCAATCCAGGTTCCATTCCCGTCCCTTTACCCCGAAAGTCCTTCAGCATCGAAAGCCTCCTTCATCACGATCACAACGGGTAAGTAGAAATTGGATACAACTCAAACGAATCACGTGTTTATTGCATGCCAAACTGAAGGCTGTAACGAAATGAAACAGTGTGAATTAAAAATGCGAGCGTCCACGGGCTTCCATCGTCCTTGGTGAGGATCGATGAAGCGAGGACTTACTAGGAAGGACAGAGAACTTGATTCTTTTTTTCACCCTGTCCTCGTTTCGCTCTAATGGATTGGTAATGTCTTCCTCTTTTTCCCCCCTTTCATCCGACAAGGACACGATAGACGGGAGGAAACGGGTCTTTCAGGCAGCCGATACAATAACAGGCAGAGATCGCAAATAAAAGATTCCCCTTTAAATCTGAAAGTTTCCTTCCTTTCGCCCCCTCATCATATTCTCACTCGCTCACACACACTCTCTCTCCCCCCCACCATGTTCATGTCATGTCAACAAACAAAGGTGATTTTGCGATCACTGAGTGGGACAGTTAATATTGGACAGGGATGAAGAAGGGGAGGAGTGGGGGACTCCTGAGTACATGGAGCCAGAAATTGTAGAAGAATTGAGAAAAAGGAAAAACAAGGCGGCAGGGGACGTGGAGGGAAGCAACGAAGACGAAGACCAAAACGTGAAGCCTGTCAGGCCGACTCCTCGACCTAGAAGTACTAACGCCATCTCCATCTCAACGCAATTGGATTCCCTCATGATTAACGGGACAGAAGCCAAGGAGGGAACTGGGAAAGAGTGCGTCCACACGATTCATTTTCGTCCAGGATCCTCCGACCTCAACCAACCCCAATCCCCATCCAAACCGGTTCCCGAACGAACCGAAAGGTCTCCAAAGGGCATTCTCGATGGGACTGGAGTGATCCCTTTGGCAGAGAAAAACCACCAAGGATCGGTTTCAGTCCTGAACGGGACCAGGGTGGTAGATGAAAGTGATGAGGAGGAAACTGAAACGGTGGAGGTGAGCATCCAAATCCATTCTCCACCCCCTGAGGAAGAGGAAGAAACAAGCGGTTGCGCGACGGAAGAAGAAGAACCATGTCCCTGCCCTTCTTCTGGCAACACTCCGTCACCAGGTCTGGAAATCCATCCCAAGGGATTCCTTCCCGAATGTGAGTTTTCTTGGTAATGTCTTGCCTCTCGTATTAGTCAGCCTCGTGGACTCGGGTCACGCCGACGAACAAGAGGAGGAAGAAGAGGATGATGACGACGATGATGATGATGATGAACTGCAGACTTATGATGTGACGTCGGTAGAAGATGATAAGGAGATCCATAACGAGATCCAGCTACTCCAGGCGAGAACGAAAGAAATCTTCACACAGACTGAAGTATCAGAGCCTTTGGTTGTGGAGACGTCGCGGAGTTTCCGGAGTCTGAAAAACGAGATCGAAGCCCAGATCGAGAAGGCGAGTCGAGAGGCAAAGGCGACTCGGCCTCATCACAACCAACAAGCACGCTCCGATCTCCATCAATTCGTCCTAAATGGTATTCGGGGGAAGGAGATCCTTGTGAATCACAACGTCGTGATCGAGGAGTTCGGTCCTCCTTCTTCCCTCAGCACCCTTACCGACGATGGCCATCACGATCCCTTGCCCGAGCCCAACAGTGAGTATCATTCCAGTAATCAGAGCATCCTCATCTCACGATAACACACAGACGAAGAGAAAAAAAAATTGGGTGGAAAGGGAGAGAGAATAAAAGGGAAATGGACAATGAAAATAGGACTAGATAGAGACAGATTAAACGGGTTCCCCTGAACACGAGCTCATAGCTTGGTCCGGGGGCCTTGATCATAACTGTTTCTTCCCCTTCCATTCTGCTCTATACACACGGAATAGACCCCCCCCCCAGCTCTCTTGTTTCCTGAAAAACGATGAATTGGGGAAAGCACCGAGGTAGTCCACCGACGTGAAGAGGAAGCGATGAAAGAAAAGAAAGATTTTATGCTAGTCTGAATCTGGCCTGATAGTTCCTCCCTCCCGCACATCCTGCGTGCCGTGACGGGAAAATGGCCAACTGGCTCATGACTGGTTGGAAGTTGGTGTCCATTCACATTCACATTACACTCCCCGCCCCCACTCTTTATTATTTAACTATTTAGCTGTCGCGAGTGCACAATCGTGCCTAGGACTTACATATCTAACTGGCCGCAGTCACATTCGTGAGCTCCACGTTTTCGCAAACTACCCGCGATCGCATTTATGAATATAGCATGCATAGACACAAAGGACAGTGCTCTGCCATCTTTTGAGAGTCGAACAAACGATTGATCTTTATGCATTGGTTAACATTAGAATTATTGCCGTCATTTAAAAAAAAAAGTTGAAAAATTTGAAAGTAGAGAAAACGAATAACTGGAAATTCCATAGTGAAAGGATTATATGTGAATTTTTCTAGAGAAAAGGGTAAGAAGGCCTCTGCCTTTGTTTAACTATGGAAGAGGAAGAAATGGTGGGGATTCCAGGCGAATCCAGCAGGGGAGAACACCCTTTGAACCTCCTCAGTCTTCTGAATGACAGCAGCAACTGAAGGAAAAAAAACCTGAGATCTGCCCCAAACCATTCGAATGCATTCAGCCCTTACTTTCTTCTGATTGCTTTAAATTCCGTGCTGTGATCACGGCGAATTCTATATCGCTGGAATGCTTTCTTTGTCCTCTTTGATTTAATATGAATGATGATTACTCAAGGAGACTCGACAGAGCAAAGAAGGAAAGATGGAAGGATCCCTTCCGCCCGTTGCTTATTCACCGCTCACTTTTTATTTTGGAATGGTGCCTTCCCCCCCCCCCCCCCCCCCCCCCCCCCCCCCCTTTTTTTTTTTGGAGGGGGCCCCCCCCCCCCCCCCCCCCCCCCATCCTTCCTTCTAGGTACAGACACTGGGGATTTCCAACTCTCCGAGGCTGTGGAATCCGATATGCCAAAACCACACACCGTCCGCAACGTCCTCAAGATCTTTGAGAGGTTCTTCAAGAGACACAGGATCCAACAGGAGACACTCCGACTTGGCTCCGTGAAATCCAACCCGAACAGCAAGATCCTCCGAGGCACTCCCCATCGCCCAAATCGGATTCTAAGCCAAGGCCAAGGTTCACGCCAAAATCCACCTCAGAGGCAAGGTTGGTCGTCAAGGATCGATCTGAGCTCCATATCCTGGCTTCGTTTACCCATTTATTTATTTACTTCTTTCTCGTGTTAGATGGATTGGAACGGATAGTGTGTATATGTGTACAGGGACAAGGGAGGGGGATGAGAGGGAGAACTGGGAGAGAGGATCTCATCTGCCGAATCGGCGAGCGAAGAGAGATGAGACAATTGACGCGGAGATGGACGGGGAGGGGACGCTGCAGCCACTGAGATGTCGACGAGTGTCAGAGGAAGTGCTAGCCAAAATCCGGGAGCAAGGAACCACCATGACCTTCAGTCCCGGCGGGAAAACCATCCATCGAGTCCGGGATCTCCTTCATTCATTCGATTCCGTATCCCGATCACGGGCCCAGAAAACCCTCTCTTCTTCCTCCCCTCGTCAGCAGGAACTCAAATGAACAGTTGAGCCCCCCCTTTTTAAATTTGGATTCATTCTCCTCTGTCTCCACCGTAGTTACCCTCCATGAATTTGTAATAAACGCTCCATCCCTCGATCCTACGTTATTCTCTACAACAAGCGGAAGAGAGAGAGAGAGAGAGAGAGAGAGCGCGAGAGGATCCTCTAGCAAGGAGGGAGGCTAAATATAAGTTCCTTCTCTCTGTTTCATAGCGGCACTAGTCACAGGAAACGAAGTTCGGGGACCACAGCTCCTGACAATTTTACATGGAACATGGAAAGGATGGAAAAAAGGAAAGGATAGGGGCGCAGCGAGAAAAGATACATCCAATTCCTTTTTACACCACCGAAGGCGGAAGCCTCTCCGCTCTCCAATCAAGCAGAAAATTGCTCAGCTCAAGCCACATTAGTAAAGATCACTCAGATACCAGCGTGAGAGAAAAGGAAAGGGCAACCAAATAATGATAGGCGGCTTTCAAGGCTCTCTAGTCCTCTTCACTCAACTAATTTCCCATGAACTATAAGGCCTGATAACTTCCCCCTTTCAGCTTCTAAGGGACTTCTAATCATCACTCAGAGCTAAGTGTGATTATTTCAGGCTTTTACACTAAAAGGTCAATACTAAACTAGCTAACTAAAGCTAACTCATACAGCCAGCTTCTTTATGTCAAATGGCTCCTTTTCCCGAATGATAGAACAAGAGTCGACCTAACTCTCTACACATTTCTTGTCTATGACAGAATTCCAGAATAGTGTAAAGGAATGAAAATTTGCGGGGAAACAGACAATTTTCACATTATGCGAGCTAACTGGTGAATACTAAAAACAACAGTAAGAAATAGCAGAAAAGTTGGTACAATTAAAAATGGTTGAAGGGAAGATTCCATGATTTCAGAAAAGCTTAAGATCAGATCTATGTTTTCAGGCATTGCTGGTGCCAACCAACGCTAATTTAGTTAAAATTTTTCAATTCAGTCATCGTCTGTCTCATCGACTAAAATTGCTAGCCAATTTGTCAAGTTTTAGTCACTCGATCAAATGGGAAAGTTCAGCATTAATCAATTTTCGTCACCCTCACTCCCACGCTTCAGTCATTTCGTCACGGAGTGAAATTTCATCTCGTCATCGTCGAAAAGAACTTTAGTCACAATTTTCGTCGGCGCAATAAACCTTCTGGTGCAATGAAAACAGACTTCTGCAGCCAAAACCTGTCATACGGCTTCGTTGCATAGCGCCTTCCTGTTGTAGATTTCATGGAATTATGTCAGTTCTGATTTGGGTATACTATCCAGTCCAGAAAAGGCTGTATTGTATTATCCCACCGAATTAAAGATATGGTGGGATGGGAAGAGGTTCTGAACGAAGGATTGATGAGAGCGGCCATTATCATTGGGTTTTCATTACCAGGTCAACCGTGAATGTTCGCCATTCATCAACTCTCGTCATCCTCTCTGTCGTCAATTTTCGTAATTTCTCCATGAGCTACGGTTTTTGTCTCGTCGACGAAATTAATACAAGAGCCAAAGCCTCAGGCGTTAGTGCTGGAAGTGATAAGAGGTTGAAGAGCTTACCCCCCTGCACTGATTTGGCGTCAGATGGGGCTAAAACTGCAGGATCATTTTGAGATTGCTGTTGTGGGATACCCCAATCATCCACACTCTTGCTGTATGACCGCACATAAGAACCATTCAGAGAGGAAATGGAGATTCCTGAAGTACCCGAACAAGTTCTCTATATGGACAAAATTATGAAACAGCAATGACATTGTTCCTTATTTTTGCCACTGTTGGCTGCAAGGTAACCTACATGCAAGCATGTCAATAATATATTATACACTATTTTTTATGAACACGGGCTTCAGCTTATCATAAGTAGCGATCGACCGATATATCGGTCGATTTCTCGTATGAGTGTTCTGGCCAATACGGCATCATCGAGGAACTGCAAGTCTTTCGCTCTGCTTCCGTTCTTATTCTCGTACATAGAAGTTAGGCGTATTCACGGCTACGGGAACTTCGACGGCTAAAACGATAGACATTCGCCCTAAAGGTTAGGTTTCGCTGATGATCGTCCGAAAGTACGAGGACTGTTCATTTAATTCGCGAACACGGGGAGGGGACTCCTGCCCTTGCCCGACCCTGTCCGCGAATTAAATGAACAGCCCTCGTTTATAAATTTTGGCCTGCTGCCTTACGTTAACCCTCCCATTTATCCAGGGTCTAAAACGTAGCGTGAGCGTAGGCCTAAACATGTCCTAAAGACCCTCCCCTGTTCGATCACGATATTTCTAATGCTCACCTATTGAAGCTTTTAAAATGTTTAGTTCTCCTCGGGGCTTATGCTCACCCGATGGCATCTGATCTCCAAAAATAATAATAATAATAATGACACCAAGAAGTGGAGATATAGCCATGACATTTGGTTTCGGAACTCGTTGGGCAAAAGAAACACTCCGAATCCATAAAGGCCGTTCTCTACATGACATAACTTATTAAAAGAGATCGACCGATATATCGGTTGATCTCTAAATTCATAAGGTAACCTCATGGCCTGGAGTGGATGTTGTCTTACCATGCATTAAACGGGGGGAATTGCCAAAAAATGCTGCCATCAAGTTTTGCAAGTGAACAAACAAGGTCGACCTAAAGGTCATCGCACACTTAGCGTGCAACGCGTGCGATTTCGACACGCATGCGGAATGCATCTGCAAGCGTCCACATGCGTTCGAATGCAAGGGAACACGCTTGTACATTTATGCCCAAACGCCTTCATAAGTGTAAAGGAATCGCAATCACTATGTTTTGAATCGGGTTTTCTTTTATTAATCAGAATATGTATTTTAATGTGATGTATTGGATTTCCCTCCTTGATTGGCATTAAACTTAGGATTTCTCTTTTTGACAATTTTGTCCCTATATCTGGAATGTCTCAGATGCGTGCGGGCATACTATGTAGACGCGTGTTCCCTTGCGTTCGAACGCATGCGGACACATGCAGGTACGCGTTAAGTGTGAAACGGCCTTTAGGCATGTGCCTCACGCGCCCCCGCACAGGGCGCAAATTAACCAGGGACGCCAAAATGTGACTGAATTTACTGTATTAAGTATGAAGCAATAATGGATGCCCCGCTCCGCTTCAGAATGTGGAAATGCTTTCTGTTTCGGTGTCATTTTGTACGCTTGGGATTGACCCTTCTCCCATCTGGGGGCGACGGGGGTCTCTTTGTATAGGACGAACCTGATTTTTGCCCTAGGACTGCCAGCCACTTTTACTCAGTCTTGTAGGACCTCAGTATTACCTGGATAGGAGCTGATTGCTTGTTATTTGCAATTTTCAATGCTTCAAATTTGAAAACTTGTACTTGAAGTACTAGTTGAAATTTTGACATCCTATTTATCATCAGAAATATTTTCTTTACTTATAAGGATAAAAAGGTAAATGCACTATGCAAATACACAATCTTCTTTTAGTTATTGTCTGCACATTTTAGTCATGAGTTACTTTCCTTTCAGAACTAATACATACTTATGTTATATATCCAGGAGAATATTATCAGCCTAATATTTTTCCTTTGCTGATGTTCCACTTCAGTGAATGATAAGCTATATAAGCCACTCTCTCCCCTTGCAGTGTCGAAAACTTGAAGGTTCTTTGCCCAACTTCAGAAAATGCAGCCATCTACAACCAGTACTCAAACCAGACCAAATGTGAAGCTATTAGAAAGTTCTTGGTACAAACTTAGACTTGTGGCATATTCATGTTGCATGTAGACTTTTCCCTGAACAAACAAGTTTACATCAATTAGACAATTAATGATAGCTAATCGATCAGCATTTTCTGAATGCACCTTGTAATTCAACCCCAACAATAAAAAAGCCCCAGTGAATATATTGGCAAAAAATATTTAAAAGACAATTTTAGGGCAAATACAAAATAAATATAATGAAACTAAAGCTCTATACAAGATTAAACATACCCTAGTAGTCAAGGGCAGACCTTCAGGTTCTTTAGAGATCTTTTGGTACCCTGATTGTCCACTTCTTTCCTGCTTTCCTTTTTGGGAATGAATTTCAAACTTTTTTTCCTCTAAAAATACAGATGTAAGGGTGGAGTACAATAATGTCTCAATAATGTACCAACTCAGCCAATGCGCATAGGCCTAGATTTATCTATATCATTGAATGATGATTATGAATTCACAAGCTGATTTGTTTAAAAAAAATTGCCCATGCATCCATAGTCATAGGTTTACAGGAATAGGCCAAGGCTTGCTACAATTGGCTAATCTGATGGATAATAGCTTTTTCACCATACTCTGACTGAACTAGTACTCCCCTTAACCCACTGACTTAGACATAAATTCCCACTGGAAAATTCCATGTATGACAGGGTGTATGATTCTGTATGGTCATGTATGATCATATATTTGCCATATACCACCATATATGTATTCATATATTTCACCTGCATTGCAATATTATGTATGATGGGCAAATGGCATCATGCCTGATATGTGGTGAATATGCATAGACAAGTCTTATGGTTATAAGTAAAACATAGCATGAGGTCAGTGGTGTATTTTGGTTGAATTCCACCTGAAAAATTCCAGTCAGGATTTCAAACTGGGCCCTACCCTCTCTAGGTAGCATAAGTGTATTGTGGATTAAAAAAGTGTGGGAGGAGGGGGGGGGGGCATGGGAACTCTGGGACATTGTTATCATGTATCTTCTCCTTTGTATTAATGTTTTTTTTTTGTTGTAATGTAGGAGCACATGCCATGCCATGCTGTGCCTTGCTTTCATTGAACAATTCCTTCATTGGATAATTTCAGAAAGAAATACAGTTTCTGTTCCCATCTATCTTCTGAGTTGTCAGTCAAAATGAAGAAGACACTCCTACATGAGTAAGCCAAGTTTTGTCTTGAAATAGCATTACTGATGAAAATACTTATGAAGGTTCAAGTCTATAATTGAAACTTTCACCTTCATTAACAAGGGTGCATATGTTGAACACCATGAAACATGCATTCTTGGAGTAATTGACTGTGGTCTATGAACAGTTGAAAATGAGTTGATTGCAAGTTAAGTATGGTGAAGTTACTTGCATATGAATGATCATACAGTATTTGATGGATTATGGACCCTTTTTGGATACAGACATGTTTCGGGTAATCTCACCATACATAGGTATGACATGGCATATATGTTAGAGCTTTAGTTTCATTATATTTATTTTGTATTTGCCCTAAAATTGTCTTTTAAATATTTTTTGCCAATATATTCACTGGGGCTTTTTTATTGTTGGGGTTGAATTACAAGGTGCATATGTTGAACACCATGAAACATGCATTCTTGGAGTAATGACTATGGTCTATGAACAGTTGAAAATGAGTTGATTGCAAGTTAAGTATGGTGAAGTTACTTGCATATGAATGATCATACAGTATTTCATGGATTATGGATCCTTTTTGGATGCAGACATGTTTCGGGTAATCTCACCATACATAGGTATGACATGGCATATATGGACAGTATATGGTGCATATGTATGAGCCAATATATGAAAATGTATGGGGGTCATAAATTTTCATTCTTAAATGATTTTATGTGACTTGTGTCAAACCCCATCCATGTTTCACATATGTTCATATATGTATTGCACTATATGGTCATATATGCCCCTTATATGTTGGAATGGTTAAATATATGGCCATTTCATATATGGTCTTATATGAAAATTTCACATGGGTTCCAACATTCATGTACTTGAAAGTGTACATTCGGACAGGATTCATATATTTTTCTTTGAATTTCAAGGAGTCCTGGATTGCATTGGTGCTTACATCAAGGGAGAACCTTATATACTGTTTGAGATCTTAAACACTAAAGATTGACTTCAGAACAATCTACTACAGAGACTTGCAAATTAAATCATTTTACCTTTTGCAAGCAATGTCAATTCTATGGTACCCATGGCAAAGGTGGTATAGTGATTTTCAGTTGATTGCACCTCCTCTACTGTCACAGAAGCAGAAATTACTCAATTTCTACTACAGTCACTGACAGCCACTAACAACTAACTACAGTCAACCCTTGATATAGCGCCATCCAATATAATGCCCCTCTTGCTTATTGCCAACTCCTTCCTGAGAACGAATCTTCCCTATAGGCTTATCATAGGCACCCCCCATTAGAGCGCCATCCACCAACCCCTTCACTTGCACAAACATGTCATATTCAACGCAAGCCTTACTCGATATTGCACCAAGCTGCATACTGTACCTGCCACAATCATTGCACTGCATATAAAATTTATTGCTGCCAGCTACTCCTTTCGATCTCATGATAGATAGCAAGATTGTGAGGGATATTTTAGCATTAGAATGGACTTTCAGAGATTAGAGGGGGGCGTATAGGGTCGCCGAATCAGCTTAATCCTGTTCCTTCTTTTGGGGAATCAAATCATCTCATTCAGATTGTACGCAGCTTCTCCAGCAGACAGTTCACGTTTATTCACTATCCAATGATGAGGAAAAGAATGGTTTTTAAGTGTGAAGGAAAAATTGGAAGTGTGCCATTAGAAGGCATATGTGGTTGAAGGTCAGAAAAACTTTGTGAACAATTTTTCTGTGTTTTGGGGCAATAATGTGAGCAGACAGTGCATAGGAGTTATACTCATTAAAATAAGATATGATTGGATTTAATCACTGATGGAATAGATAGAATCATTTTTCAAAGCTGTGTAGGTGGTGTATTCTGCATGGATTAAAGTGAAAATTTGTGCACACTACATAAATTAGAAAAAAATTCTCAATTTTAAAGCCATGCATTTAGATTTAGTGCCAAAATCGGCTGAGACCAACAGTGGCGGTATATTGAGAGTTGACTGTACTTTTGAGACAGTAGATGTCACACAGATGTATCACAAGTGGTACCATTCAGGGGGGGGGGGGGGGTTGGAATCAATAAAAAAAAATCAATGTACATATTCATTTGCAAATCATCATATCACTTGATTGATGCTTAATGCATATTGTGATTATTGTAGATGAAACAAAAATGTAAACAATAAAGGACACTGAGTCTTTCCTTCTATGGCCATTAAAAAAAAATTCATTTGCAACGAAATGAACTCACAATAAGTTTCACTCATTCATTGTTCATTGTTTGAAAGAATGTGAAAATTGTGAATAACCATTAAAAGAACCATACTGGAGAGCAAGGTTGGCAACTGGGAGATCATAGGTAAGAATGGGTCACTCAATCTGGAGATGGCATAAAGGCAATTCATTCCTCCACGAGAGCCTATCATGGAATTAAATCAAGACAGACCATCTTTCTTTGTTCATTGAGGAGGCCTACACTTCTGGGGAATTTATATGGAAGTGCAGAGGAAAACTAAGGACAGGTGATAAACTAAACAACTACAATGCTAAACAGGCAAAAAAAAATTTCCCTCTAATTTTGTATCTATTGGCTATAAGAACTGAAACAAATCCAGGAATTCCACAAGTCACTAATTCAAAGATTAATTCTACAATGAATCTTTTTGGTTGCATCCTATTCTTCAAACATTCACTGCCAGACCTTACCATAAATAGCATTCCTATCAAGGGAATTGATATCCTCTACATTCTACCACCTTAGAACAGATGAAAAATTAATGCTATCTATCAAATGCAGGGTCAACTTTATGGACATGCACAAATATGACCCAAGTCATGTATGGCAGCTTCAAGGGGGAAATTGAATTGGTTGTATTTGCCAGTGAATGTGTTAAGAGAAAATCCCAGTCATTGCACTCTTTTTGCACTGGGTTCCACCATATACACAACTGATAACAGAGTTACCACCCACACTGCTTATTGCAGGAAAATTTGGCACAGGAAAAAAGAGGAAAGGTCATAATGAAAACATGTGACAACAACCAGAGTTGAAGGGGTGCTATAAAATCCTAATGGATGCAAAGGATGTCAAGATTTCTTCCAATATATTTTCTGTTTTACTTCCCAAAAGTATTTGTACAACTTGGATATTTTCTTTCAAAATAACTATCATGGGATAAGATAACAGAAGTGAAATTACTAGGGCTGTACCAATGGTCACCTTTTGCTGATGGCTAATTTTTATCTCAAATCAAATAGGCCTATTTGGAACCCATGTATTACTTCCCAGGGGGCCCCCTAAAAATGATAGAGACCATATTTAGTACTGTTTATCTATGTTTGTCAGTGGTGAGCTATTGCTGCTGTTAAGAGGGTTTAACAACACATCTCTTGCAAAAGCATAACATAAAAGCAGGCACATTTATTTCCCATTCTTTACTGCTATTTTCCTGTCAGTTCCTGGAATAGGGTTGGAATACAATCTGATCGATATTTTTTGGGTCCACATGTTCACACTAATTTTTTCTGTGTTTTGCCTTTCCTTTAGGCATCAGCATCAGCAGCTTGCACACCAGTTGATGACTGGTGATGCTGATAGTGCAACACTGGTGACTGATACTGGTGGTAGCTGATACATCAGTACAGCCATAGAAATTAAACATTATGCTGTTGGTTGAATCAGGAAATACTGGTACATCTTAATTCCAACTGTTATGTGGGAGTTGAGATAAAGTGAACTCAGTGATTTGATTAGGTAATCACCATTCTTCACAAAATGTACATTGAAGTCAGCTATGACACCAAATTAAAATAGCTAAAATTAGGTAAATTCAAGGCATGCATGCTTATTCCTACATGCACCAACAAGATACAAAATCTAAACTTTGTCAATTTTCTATTGAGCGACAGACTGCATTTCCAATTTGGTATAGGAATTAACTCGTATTGCAGGCAAAACCTGAGGCTTTCCTGCGGTTCTTGAAATTGCGTAACTTTATCTCCATTGTCTACCGTTTCCATCACCTTTACTCAAGAACAATGAAGTTGAATGGCAAAACAAAACCAAGAAAGTGTTGTGTGCTGACAGTCACTAGGAGCAACGAAAATTACCTGAACGACTCCCAGCAGAGTGGGCGGTAAATATGCAATACCATGCGACCGGCCACGGAAAACAGCTGATCTTGCTCTGTGCGCTAACGTTGACATATATCGGTTCGCTCGTTCGTTATGCTACACAGCTTGGAGGAATGGAAGTGAATGACACTCACAGAGGGAAATGATGAAGAATGGAAAGAAGGGAGGGGATGTAACGTTAGGCCGAAACCTAAAGGAGAGCGAGCACGTGGTTCGATGAATAACTTGAGAGCAGCGCCTCTCAGCGCCGCCATGCTCCTCACTGTCTTCGTGCCGTGCAGCAGGGGCTCATCAATTCCTTTTTTTTGTTCTTGTACGCTTCCAACATTTGGGCATACGCAAACTCATTGATACCCAACGCCATCCGGAGGATAACCATATCGTCCTTACATATTTCCGACGGTAAAGAAATGTAAACGTCTTTGGGAACTGTCAACAGATATGTCGCATAATTCCACTCCACCTTAACAGTAAATCATTTTTATTTCATTGTGAGTGAAGATTGAGCACATATTGCAATATTCGCGCAGCTGCTTTCAAGGTTTTCGGCTGCTAAAGATTTTTATTATGAAAATCTGTCATGGAATCTCTCGAATGGAAGAACCAAGAACTGATTGTGTCGTTGACGATACCGTACCTGACGCCACCGGAGAAGGGCACATTCGACTTTCGACATCATGGACCCACACACTGTAGTTCTGGTTTTATTGACATCGAGAAAGAAGGTATAATCTCGAATGTCATTAGGATGGACTTACCAATGTTAAATACCTCTCCAGATATATCTAGGACAGTCTGCGTAGGCCTAATTTAGACCTATAGGCAAGTTTAAATTTTCGTTTGCATCATCTGGGCTCTCGGTGCCAATCGTGTATGTTGCAATGCCGAGCTAGATTTAAGTTTGTCTTACGTTCAAGACTCCCTGCACATGGAAGTGTTGGTACACCGCGAGGTATAGCGAAATAACGAATGCTTGTGAAGTTAGTGAGGGCTAAATTTAAAATTATTTTTTCAGTTCTCTGCACTTGGACAGAAAATGGATTGAGAGGCAAATAGTGATGCTGTTGGGCAAAGGTGATGTATAGCTAACGTGAGGCGTAACTCTCGCCCACTTTGTATCCCATGCGTTATTGCAGTGTGCCCTTGAGTGGATTTGCCTACGAGTAAATTCCTGGGGAGATAAGTGCCCTTGTGGGACAGATTTCATTGTCATTTTGACTCACTCTAGGATGAACATGTCAGAGAAGTTGTGAACCTTGGCTTGTAGTAGAGCCTAGTTTGACATCATGAGTGAGTCTTCCAGCCTTGTTGCATGACAACACAGCCACGATGGCCAATGCCATCAAGGAATTGGTCAGCAAGAAGAAGAAACGCTACAAGGAAGGGGGTTTTGATTTGGATCTTGCTTGTATCCTTCTCTGTCTGACTCATTTTATGTTTATTGAGAGGCTCAATGATAGTCTAGGTTCAAGCTTTAGGCAAGTGTATGGTACTACGTGTTTTCAGGCCAAATGTTTGTATAAATATATTAGATTATGTTTGCTGTTTGAGTCAATTTTTAATGTTAATTGAAAGCCACTAAAACAAAACATTCAATAGCACTTCAAATGCAGGTACAGATTATTCTTATTTCCAGTTTAACTTCCGTGAAAAATCACTATATCTCCAGTTAACAGACTCAAGAGAAACTGGTTTGAAACTGAAATATAACTTCAGTTTGAAAGAACTCTAGCTAACTTAAAAGATAAACTGCTGCTAGACAAGAACTAAACTGACTGAAACTAAATGGTTTGGAATCACTAATATGCTAGAGCTTAGATTTGAGAAATTATCCTCTATACTGACCTATTTACACAAACCTGTCATCACTGACAAGATGCATTTTAGTAGCTACTGATGCAATAGTACTCATATCCAAACTTGATTCACCTGATCTAAGTTCTCTATTTTTTAGCCTCATTGATCAGACCAAGTAATTATTTAATTTCAATTCAGGTTCACTTCAGTTTGAATTGGTTAATTCAAGGGATGAGGAAGAGTTTATAATCTGACTTGAAACCATTCAGTTGAACCTTTTCCTGGTCCATGGCATGATTTAACGCTGTCCCTTTGGTTGGTGAGATGTTATTCAATATGGCTCTCAGAGAAATTTAGGATGCTCATGTCTGAGGTTCATATCTGATCTCTCTTCCTGAATATCTCCTTTGCTCATCCATTCAATACCATTAAAGTTTTGTCTCTAAAAAAAATACATATTTTAGTTTTTAATTTTCCTAAACAGAAGAATCTGGATATCAATAGTCCACTATCATGAAGAAATTGTATATGCAGTTCCTAAGTTTGGCAACTTCCTTGACATATAGTTCATAGATATATGTGACAACATCATAGCAATGGGTTATCCAGCAGAGAAGTTGGAGGGTGTATATCGCAACCACATTGATGATGTTGTACGCTTCCTGGAGGCAAAGCATAAAGGGCATTATAAAATCTACAATTTGTAAGTTTTTCTCTCAACCCTCCAACCTCATGCTTTTCCCACCAAGGCTAAATCCTGCAGGCTTTCCAATATCATGGGGTCTTTGTTATCTAGGTGTTCAGAACGGTCATATGATGTGTCCAAATTTCATTGTCGTGTTGCCACTTTTCCATTTGAAGACCACAATCCACCTCAGGTGGATCTGATACAACCCTTCTGCCAAGATGTCAAGATTTGGTTGCAAAAGGATCCAAAAAATGTTGCTGCTGTTCATTGCAAAGCAGGCAAGGTGAGAAGTAATAGAATGTGGCCCTTGGCTTCCTCATGATAGTGAAACACAAACTAAGAAAGTGAAGAATATTTTAATTCTGTATTTCAGGGGCGAACAGGAGTCATGATTTGCTGCTACCTTCTCCACAGTGGGAAGTGCCACACAGCCGAAGAAGCCCTTAATTATTATGGACACCAGAGGACTCATGACATGAAGGTCTGTATATACTCTATCTTGATTTCATCTTTCTTCCCACCTAGGGTTACCATACATCCAGGTTTTCCTGGACATGTCCTCCTTTTTCACTTTCAAATATCTATCCCTAGAGGAAGGTGTGTTCTTTTTAGCTGTTTGAAATATGGTAACAACAAGGTTTATAATTGATGAACCTTGGTTCAACTGAGGTAAACCTTGTTTATCAGTTTATGAAGGTTCATCAGAGATAAACCTTATGAACTTGTGCATTGACATGACAGACATATTGTCATCTGTATCCAAAATAGATGCATATATTGTTCTTTCAGGGTGTTACAATTCCAAGCCAGCGACGATATGTAGAATATTACAGCATGCTCATTCGGAATTCCTTGATATATCGGCCTGTGTCCCTGCTGCTGCATGCTGTTGAGCTGTTTCCTGTACCTACTTATAATTCTCAAGGTGGATGCAGTGAGTTGAAGGCTTGCAGTTGGTTTCATCAGCATCAATAAGGAAACATGATCAATGAATGAAAGAATGTATATATTGTGATCATGATAGGTGCTCAGTTCAACATTTGGCAGAGTGGTACTAGTTCACCATTCAAGTTGTACTCATCCAAGACTCTTGAGGCAAGGCGAAATGCAGGTTATTTACATGTGGAGCTTCCCTTACAAGTCACTCTTTGTGGTGACATTAAATTTGAGTTCTTCAACAAAACAAAAATGATGAAGAAGGTAAGTTGTACAAGTTTGAACTCTGTGTAAGAAAAGTAGCCCTTCAACCATCTGATGATTTATGGGGTGATTTTGCTTTCTCCTTCCCAACATAGGAGAAAATGTTCCAGTTTTGGTTCAATACATTCTTTGTTGATGAGGAGGAGCCACCCGCTCAGAATGGTGCACCCAAGAATTCCCACTCTGATCGTCAAGATCAAGCAGTCAGTTCAGTGAAAACTCGGTAAGTGGCACCGTTTGCTTGTGATTTTTTCATATTGAGCAAGCACGCTTAGTCTGGCAATATGGTATTGCTGCCTTTCCTTTCAGGTCCCTGACATGTCCATTGCCATTGACAATGAACAGTATCACAGACAGCATGTGCTTCCCTAGAGGAAAGAGACTTAGACTCAAATTGTGGAAGCATCAGCTGGATAAGGCACACAAGGACCGCACTCATAGGCTCTTCCCTGAAAATTTCCATGTTTGTTATGCTCCAGGGCCTCTGTATCAGCACATAAATGATCTCTGAGTCTAATGTCATTAGGACTATATTTTGGGCATCCTCTCTCAGGTGACATTGTACCTGAGCGATCTGGCTGTGAGCAGTGCCATGCGTCAGCATTCTGGAGATGCCACCATTGGTGGAGGGAGGATGCGACCTGAAGTGGGAGCAGAGGTCACTGATGCATCAACTCGACTTCATGGTCTACGGGTGGAATCCAGTGATGACCAGAGCAGCTCTCCCAGTCCAACTGACTCTGAAGACGAAGATGATGAAGATGAAGCCTGGGATTCTGGTGAGTTCCTGGGCTCCCCTCCTCTCATCTTCTCTTCTATTCTCCTTCCAATGTAAGAGCAACATTTTGTCAAGGAAGCACAGCTATACCTTCACTTCCTTTATGGGAGCCAGAGTGGGACATAAAGACTGGAACTATGGTTTGCATGGTATGGCCCTTGGGAGACTCATGGGTGATGAATGTTTTCTTGATTGGTTTTGTGCTGCTTTTCAAGCAGAGGGACGTGGATGACCGAGGGCCAGTGAGTGAGTCCAGTGATTCTGTGTCTGCCATGTGAACAAAACAAAAACATATTTGTACTTTAACCTCTCTCATCCCCTTCTCAATTTTGCTAGGCTCTACCGAATTGCCATCTCAGTAAGATACCCTTTCTTTCTGTCTCATGGCTTGGAACTGAGTGGGAAACATTGAGCCTGAATGCTTCTGTGAGTGATTCAAGAAAAAGAGAGAGGGGAAAGCAAAGACTTTTAGTTCTGTGATCTAGTGCATCAGTGAAAGTGGGAGTGTCTTGCAAATTGCAATGGATCGTGAATGTATCCATGGTTCTCTCAACCAAGTACAAAAATTGTCCCAGAAACAAATACACCTTTTAAAGAGAAAGACTTGAAAGGAAAACCAGATCTGAGATTTATTTCTTGATTGCTCTGGTTGGTTCCTGGGCATGGAAGATGAGGATAAAAGCTGAAAACATCCTCTTGTTGGCCTGTCATCATTCATTTCTGATCATGACACATACTTCACTCCCATGTTTGCCCTCAGCAATGATTGGGTTTTTCATGGAGACTACTTCATGACAAGTAAAGAATATTAGCTAGCCTATTTCAAGGTTGCTCAAACCTGACTTGTATGTCCCAAAGAACTTCTATGAAACAACATTTCGGGAACTCCTGAGAAAGGATAGGACTTGCAAGTTCCACTTTTTTTTCCATTTCTAATTATGGACTTGTGTACACATTAATCATGCACACCACAAGAGTGGTCCTGAATAGCCTACAATTGGCACTCCCAGAGATTTTGGGGATTCCTCTCTGGGTTCTCCCCTGGAGAAAGGTTAGGGAAACCCTGGCTAATGATGTTACTCAAATAGTGTTGCAGTTGTGACAATACAATTTTCCATACAATTGCCAAATGTTTGAGTGCTGAACTGGTATGGTAGAATTTTCTCAGATATGCATAAAGATGCATAATACCATTATTGAATTGAGGTCTGGTTAAAGTACTTTTTCTGTAATTGTTTTATTGCTTTGAATTTTCTTCATTGCATAAATGTGCAGAGCTTTTTCAGTCACTCCCATTGCCTGCAGAGAGCCTTGCTATTTCATGAAGGAGGCTAAGCCAAAGAGTATGCTGACAAACTTCAAATTCCTGTGTGAGTAGCTTTTGGACCATGTGAAGGAGTGCTCTGACCCTTGTGCCATAATTGGTTAGAAAGGTAAAAATGGAATTTGAAAGATATTTATTGATGACTTTATTTTCTTACTAAGGGTGGCATCGTTTCTTTTTTTTATGCAGGAAAAAGCCTCCTCATAAAAAGAGCAAGTTTTCAGCTGCACAATGTTCCATTGAGGTGTCATTTAGAATAGAGAATAGAATAGAGCAAGGACTCCATGCTGCACACTTGTGCTTTGTGACTTTTTTTGTGAGGGTATCTCCAGGCCATGGTGAAGGTTGGCATATCAGATCTCAAAGATTATAGAAACTAAGGAACTTGAACCAAGAGAAACATTCTTTTCTGAAATGAAATCATTAAGAATTGAAACTAATGGTTGTTCTGACAATTTCAGATTGTCTGGTCTAAACCAGAGGTTGGAAATCCCATGTCATTTATCGGCATCTCCTCTTGCACTTCTTGAAGTCATCTCCTCAAAATAGTAGTAAGATATTTAAAGTATATACACATTTTTATGTACAGGTGGTCCACAATTGTCTCCCCAAAAGTAAAAGCTCAGGAAGTATACATCCAATTTCAATATCAGACTGAAACGATAGCCAATTCAATATATTTTTATTGCGGAAAATTTCAGCATTCCATAAGAAACTAGAACAAAGTTACACCATAACAAATGAAAGTACCCTTGTCGTGCAACTAAAGCCTATAAAATCACAATCCCTTCTGAAATTCGCAAAATCATATTGAGTTTCGCAATTCATTCATGGGTTTTTCATACATTGTGAGGGATTGTCTGTGTCACGAGTGACTTCAGTATCCTGCAGAAGATGAATATTGCCATTTGGTTTGATAATTAGAAGAGTGCAAATTTGTGTGGGGAAAATTTTGAAATTTCTGCAGTTTGGGTCCAAATGCCTCAGTTCCTGAGAAGATCATGAGAGGTTTCTGAACCTAAAGAGATTCATTGGTGGACCTATGACAACCTAGATATGCTGAAACAGGACATTAGAGATGCCTTCGTCACAGTAGGACCAGAGATGAATGAAAGAATTCTGCTGGCATTCAAAGAGATTCCACCAAGTCATTGAAAATTGTGGAAGTCATATTAAACACTAATGATTTGGCAGCTTTCATTTGTTATGGTGTAACTTTGTTCTAGTTTCTTATGGAGTGCTGAAATTTTCCATAATGAAAATATATTGAATTGGCAATCATTTGAGTCTAATATCATTGAAATCGGATGTATACTTCCCGAGTTATACACTTTTACTTTTGGGGAGACAATTGTGGACTATCAATTATTACAAAGATATTCAATTCATTCCAGGAACTACATTTATCAAATTTCATATTTTATATCAGCCCAATCCACTGCAATGGAAAAACATTGGGCAGAGAGTAGGGATGTTACCAATGAGGAATTTTCACTAATATCTGATATACCGATATTCATCAAAGAGGGATCCAATCTAACCAATAATCATGATGAATGTCTCACAGGAGTCCAGTATTTTTATCAAATGGGACTGGAAGACATACTGATTGTGCATATTTTAGGCTAACTTATATAGTTTTAGGAAAAGGAAGAGAGATGTGTGTGGAGAGACCATCAACAGTTAGAACAGTGAAAGTTGGCATAGCATTTCCTCCTATACCTAAACCAGAATGTATGAGTCTGGTAGAGCTGCATTTGATTCACCCCCATCCTAGGTCATATTAAGACAAGAATAAGGCCTGAATAATGCTATTAGCTAACTATCCTTTGAGGAACCATGGACTCCTAGGAGGGAAAGTATCTCTCTAGCTTATAGACCCTTTATCTTGCTAAAATTATGTTTCAGCATTTAGGCCTAGTCAGAGCAACAAAAGTACACACGTGCGTACACTTAGATGATACAGATGTGAGATTGCAAATTGTCTGAAGAAAGTAGACACTCAGTTCACAACCAAGGGAGTGTTTATTAGTTGGTTTTAATGGTTCAGGAAAAGTGAGCAAAAGGGCATAGAATTGGTAGCAGGAAAGAGGTAGTGATACATGTGGGCCTTGCATGGGGGTCATACTGAAGTGACTGAGATAGAGTGATGCAGCGTACATTTTTGCTTGTTTGACCTAATTTGGCAATCATGCCAGATCATCATGAAATTTCTCATGGGAACAATCGCTCATGCACACACCTGGTGCTAGACTCGTCCATTCTCAGTGGGCTGAAGTAACTATTGCATATACCCCTTGTGGAGCGTCTCCGATGGCTTTCTGGATATCCCCATCTCCTGTTCACCATCAGGCCAACTGCACTATTGTCGGAGAATTGAAAATACATTTAAAATCATTAGGCTTTTGCAGTTGGTTTCTTGGCTTTTTCTTCCAGAGCATCACCCATGCCTACCCTCTGTTCTAGTTGATTCAAAATGATGCTGCAAAAAGCTAACATTTAAAAGGGAACCTCTGATATCAGCCTGTTGGTGGTTTAGTAGTATCAATTTTCCAATAAAACTGTTATGGACAATTATCGGCTTTTTTATCATCCTGATAAATTGTCGGTAACATTCCTACTAGAGAGAGACCTGCAAAAAATGCACCCAGGGGTCATCATGAGTACAGGTCAAATCTCGTTACAATGAATTCCATTACAACAAAAGTCTCACTATAGTGAAAATATTTCTAAGCCCTAGCTGATGGTCAATGGTAATAGTACTTCATAGATCTTGTTACAATGAAATTCATTACTATGAGTAATTCAATACAATGAAAACGTTTTTTCCATTCCTTTTATGCATAATAGTCACTTGTTATAACTAAAAAAATATCTAACACATGATTATTTATAACAAGATGATCCTCTGTGGTTCATGACAACCCCTTTCTTCCCTTTGGACTGTGAGAGAGTCAGAATTCTCTGTTTGCCTGGTTTCAAGATGTTGGTGCAAGAAACATTCCTGTAAGTTATCCACTTGTTTGGCAAAAACCGTTGGACTGTTGGCTGGCTTAACAGATTTCGTGAAGGCTATGGAATTGCATCTAAAGCAATCTGTGGAGAGGAAAATGATATTCCAGGTTAATGAATACGTGCAGGAGAAATTAAAGAGCTGATTGCTGGCTACAGTCTAGATGATGTTTCCAGATTTTAATGCTGATGAAACAGGCATGTTTCATCAGTTGTTGCTGCATCATATGCTTGCTGCTAAAGGTTGTAGAGGGGGGAAGAAATCCAGATGAGGAATGTTTCTTTTGAACTTATTTCGAGCAATTTTCGATACAACAAAATTTCAGTGCAATGAAATAATCTGGACACCCTCTTGAAGTTTGTTATAACAAGATTTGACCTGTATAATGTTTCCAAAATGATGTTCCAGAATGAAGTTTAATCTTGCTATCATTTCAAGAAAATGGTTAGAATTAGCATCAGCCACTCAAGTCAGTCACTCACAATCATCCATGTATTGGGTTAGAAAGAAAGTCTTGCAACACTCTGTGCAAATTTTTCAAAATTTTATAACTTTATTGAAATGCAATTTCAGTCTACAATGTAATGACCATTGTTGTCTATGACATGTTCCCAACGCACGGAAAACTGCTCAATGCCCTTTGCCCAGAACTCTGGCAATTGCGAAGTGAAGAAACGGCCGACATCATTTTCGAGCTGTGCTCGATCGTCGAAGGCCTTGTCCCGCAGGTGATTCTTGAGGGCCTGGAACAAGTGATAGTCGGAAGGGGCCAAGTTCGGAGAATATGCTGGATGGGGTAAAGCTTCCCAGCCCAGTTCCGAAATCGTCTGACGAGTCATCTTTGCAACATGTGGACGAGTGTTGTCATGCAGAAGGAGAACTTTGTCACGTTTGGGACGCTCGTTTTGAATGACGCCAGCCAACTTATGAAGTCGAGCAGTGTAGACGACGGCAGTCACGGTGGTACCGGTTGGCAGGAGCTCATAGTACAACATTCCTTCTGAATCCCACCAACAGCAGAGAAGAACCTTCACGTGGAACCCTGGTTTTTGGTGAACAGGAGATGGGGATATCCAGAAAGCCATCGGAGACGCTCCACAAGGGGTATATGCAATAGTTACTTCAGCCCACTGAGAATGGACGAGTCTAGCACCAGGTGTGTGCATGAGCGATTGTTGAGTAAACCTTCCGATAGCCGAGGTCGTTCGGATGGTTGCCGATGGCCATATGGGTGACTCCCAAGTGTAGTCACCAATTCGCGAGTGGTGGCGTTCAGCTTCACGTTGAGGGCATTCCTCAGGGCTTCGTCATCGACTGTAGATGGACGTCCTGAGCGTG